CCACTTTCTCGCGACCGCAGGGATCCTCCTTGCTCGTAGGCAGGCATCTAGACTCACTTGATTGACCCCGTTGAAGGCTCCTTTTAGGTCAAATGACACGAGAGTTACCACTTTGTGTTTGTACCAAGCCCGGTCGATCGCATTCGAGAGCACCAGTAAAGCTTGTTCAGTGGTTCTTCCCGGCCGTCCACCGAACTAGGTGTCCGGTAGCAGGCCGTGCTTTTCTGCTAGATATGACAGTCGGCGGGCTACTATTGCTTCGAGAAGCTTGCCTAGCGTGTTGAGGAGTGAGATCGGGCGGTAGGCCTCCGGGGCCGAATAATCCGGTTTCCCGGGCTTCCTTAGCACCACGATCTTCGCATTCCGCCATAGCTTCGGATGGTAGCCTAGGTTCATAGATACGTTGAAGATTCTAGTGATAACGTCCTTTAGGTGTTTCCACAGTTGTTTCCACACGAGCATTAGCAGGTTGTCATCGCCCGGTGCAGTAGTTCCTTTCGCCGCTACAAGAGATCGTCGGATCTCTAGCTCAGTGATGGGTTGCCACGGGAGCTCTAGTGGTGTCGAGGTTGGTTGACTGTCGAGGGGAGTATTCATTTCAGGGAAGAAGGAGTCCATGAAAGCCTGCGCCTTCTCTTCGTTTCCAGTAAGCTCGCTTGTACCGATCTTCAGCGCGGGGATACACCCCCACGCCTCTCGGGGTTTCATGTAGGTAGCCGCTTTCCACAGTTTCCCTTCCCCTGCCTCGTCGAGGAATTGTTTCCAATGTGATGCTTTAGCTTTCTCAATGGCCCGAGTCCATGCCCGGCGTTTTTCTTGCATCTCTCGGAAAAGGGTTGTGGATGAAGGGTGCTCTCGTCCAAGCTCGGCACAGGCTGATTGCCATCTTCGGCGTAGCTAGTTGACCTCGGTCTGTTGAGCCTTGAGGTCTAGAGTAAACCACCGCTTAGAGTATGGCGTTGGACGTGCATCTAGCGTGTACCGATCTATAGCTGCTGTCGTTGCTTCAATGAGTTTCATCACAGCCTCATCTAGTGCCGGCCGTGTTTTGATTTCCTTCCATGGGCCGATCCGCCGCACCACCTCCTCGCCAATCTTGTTCCATTCTGCGCGGTCAAACGCCTTCTTTGTCTTAGTGGCGGGTTTGTACTGAGCTTGGAGGTTCCATTCCGAGTACGTGGCGCGGTGGTCTGACCCGTAGTTCTCGTGGTAGAGATAGCATTTGATGAGTAGGTCTGGTCGGTTCGTCACCGTCTGGTCGATAGTGGAGTTTCTTCCCGGGTCGTTTAGAGCCCAATATGTAGCCGTTCCTCGTGGGAGACAGCTGTGTAGACCATTGGCTTCGAAGAAGGTGATCAGGTCGCTTGCTTCTTCGATGAATCGCGGTTGGATATGGTTACCACCCCAGGTTGGGTGATGGCGGTTGAAATCTCCCGCGAGGATGACGCTTGTGGACCTCCGGTTGTCCTGTGTAGCGGATACGATCGTGTTTTGAATAGCGTTGAATGCTGGTTCCGCCGACGTATCTGCCGGTGTACACAGCGGGACAGATGGGATGTAAACAGAAAAGAGGAGGACTTGAGAGTCCGCTGTCCAGATCTTGATTGCGGTAAGGTCTGGATAGTCACAGTGGATCTGTCGGTGAGAGGACGTTGAGACTCTCTTGTTAACGTAGATTAGGCTCCGGAACCGATCAGCATCAGTCTCGACGGTTGGTCGATATAGCCGCCAGGCGCTGTGGTTGACATGTGTTTGGTAGGTAGTAATTGAGGGTTCTTGGATTAGGAGCACATCCAAGTTTTGGCTTTGGTGATCGTTGATGAGTGCTTCCATCCGTGGTCTTGATTTCATGATGTTCAACTGTAGTATGCGTAGGTTCGTCTCTAACATTGATGGGGGTTGGAGGTTGCGGGAGTTGGACACTGTCGGACGCCGGTTGGGTGTTCGCCGCCGCAATCGAGGCATCTGGCCCTGATCCCGGGGGGGCATCGTTGCCGCTCGTGTTGACCCGCACAGTGTCCACAGCGTGGGGTTTCCTTACACGACCACGCTAAGTGACCGAAACGTTGGCATCGGAAGCATCTCTTTTTCTTGATTTCGCGGCGTTCCACGCTTCCAATTTGTCTTTGTCCAACAAGGAGACCATTGTTAAGGACATAGTCGGCTCCCTCAGCGGAGTCGAACCAGATACCCAGAGATGCAAATTTCCCTAGCACCTTATCCTTCCTTTTCAGCCATGCCAACTCTTCGATCCGGAAGCCGCGTTCCGCTAAGTCATTTTCTTCCATGATTTTCTCAATAGCCGGAGTGGTAGCGTTTTCTAGGTCGAAGTCTTCTGTCGGGGTACGGTGTACGACGACGCCGAATCGTGGTTTTACTAGCTTCGTGTTGTTCCCTAGCTCGCTTAGCCATTCGGTGTTGTTGCGGGCTACTTCGGCCGACTCCGTGTCCTTGAAGCGGATAATATAACCCGTCTTGGTAGTCCCGATGCCGGCAACCTGAGCATCTTGCGTGGAGGGGGTGTTCAGCAGGGCGGTGCGGATGTGGGTATTAGCGGCCTCAGTGGGGAGGTATCGGCAGAAGGTATTCCCGTCGGTGTTGTTATTATCTCTTAGGTCTACTAACGACCTCTGAGTGCTGATTCGGACGCAGTTCCGCTCTTTCTCGGGCGATTGATGGCTAAGTTGGGTAGGATTGTCGCTGCCGTTGGCTGCCACTGCAGCCCACGATCTGGTTGGGGTTGCTGGTGTCAGGGCTTCAATTTGTTCTCGCAATGCTCTGATTTCGTCGTGGAGCTTTTCGTTCTGATCTCGGAGAACGTTCTGGCCATGTTTAACCTCTAGGATCTCGGCTTTGGTGGATTCGATGACTGTAGTTTGGTGGGAGATAATTTCCTTCAGGCTGTTGATGAGCTGTCGCACCTCCTTAGTCGTCACCCGTCCGTTATTGTCTTCCGAGCCTGCAAACTCGGGGTTCGAGCGTGCAGCAGTGGTGACTTCGTTTCCATGGCGAAGGCTTCTTCTCTTTCGAGGCACAATCGACGGTTGGAAGTTTTCCAGCGAGAACAGCTGTGCCCCTCCTTGGGAGTTTGTGGGGGAGGGCTCGGGCCCTCCCGCGGGTGGGTCGGCCATCGGTCCGGGTTTGGTTCCCGTTCGGCACACAACCACGTTTTGTATCGCAATAGTATCAACCACAACACTCCTACTGTCGTTCCGCCTGTCGATGACCTTCTGATTGTACTCGCCACAGTCGGCTCGGAGGAAATGTACAGGACCCTATTGCTACTGCCATCTGTGATTACAGAGAAGTGCAAAACCAGCTTCACCGATTTGCTCTCTTTACTTGATTCTAGGCCCCACTGCCAAGACGCTAGCCCAGAAAGTGAGTGTAGCTCAGTGGACCCTCGTATGGTTCATACTCTCCTCTCCGCAACTGACGATATTAAAACTCAGTCAAAAGGCAATACTATATACAAGCATGCTGGCCAGAAATTGCTTAGGGTAGTCTATATGTAACAAAAACCACCGAATCACCATTCATCAAGTTTTTAACTTCAAAATAAATTGGTGTTGATTGTTGAAAGCTATTGTTCTATACGACGGATGGCGATATATATTTATCTCAATTCTTCAACCTCGAAACTCGCGTGTCGGAAATGACCATTAGCGCTCTCTCCTCGAGCCCCCACAACATTGACGCACTATTCAGGAAAATCTCCAAAACATTGGCCCGCGCTGTTTTGCCAGTTTTCGTTTCACAAGCCCTTGAGCTCAGCAAAGAACTCTTCGATTGGGTTAAGATCAGGTGAATAGGGCGGAAGGTACAACAATTTGACTCCTGCATTCAAGCACAAGTCTCGTATTTGATCAGTATGGTGAAACGAAGCGTTATCCATTACAAGGACGGATTTCGGCTCCGGCCATGTCCCGCAGTGATGGAGAAGCTGTTCAATGAAATCCTCGAACACGCCGGCGTCAGTCGACCCTTGGAAGACTCGTGACATAAGAATGCCATCCCGGGTGTATGCGGGTAGTATTTGGTAGCGCTGCCCCCGCTGGAAGTGGGAAGTCTGTACCGGGGTCACCCCGCGGGGAGACCAGCCTGTCCGCCTGAATCCAGCTCGTTTATCAGCCAGATTCATCTATGAAAACGAAGTGATAAGAGCGAAACTCAGATAGCTGATGGAGATAATAATCCCTCAAATCAGCTCTCCTTTCTTTCGCTATACGTCGAGCCACTTTCTTGGTCCAGCCCTGCGATCGAAGTGCACGGCCGATAGTGAAAGTGGATCCAGGACGTAAAATTCGTCGTACAGAAAGTCCGCCATCTCATCCAGGTATAAATCTGGTTTTTCAAGCAAGTGTTCGCATAGAGCTTCAAGCATGGCTGGTGTGATCATACGCGGGTGGGCGGCCGCCAGGGTTGGGGGTTGCTCGAACGTCGCCGAACATTCGGAGGTTGGTACGAATGGTTATGATCGAGCGCTTGCTATAACCGGCCGCGTCGGCCATCTGGGATGTAGTCAGCGATCTGCTGCTGGTCATATTACGGATCATAACAATCTGAGATAGTGGGAGCCGAGGCGCCATGATATTTTCGTTGCTCCTTCGAAGTGAGATGGGAAGTGGGTAGAATGGCGAAGCACTAGGCTTGGTTTCGGTCGGCTCGGGCCGACAGTCTAACCGATAACTCATCAGGCAGTCCAGGTTCCTGGATGTTATGGCCAAACACAAAAGTCGGCACCGCGTGAAATATATAAATATAGACTGAGACTAATACCGAGTGTTTCAATATGGATAGGGGCTCGACTTCATCTAAATCTGTCTTGTTCTTCGATATCGCTACCCAAAGCGGTGAATGATTGGTCCTTTTAGCGAGCGCGGCACTGCCCCTCTTGATTCAGGTTTGACAGAATACTTTGGACTCCCGTAATCTCTGCCACTTTGCAGCCCAAGCTATAGAAAGAAGAGTGTCACGGTCTTTCTGAACCCTTTTATCAAATGGATGGACTGTCGTCTGCGGCCAGCGTTATCGAGGTCATTCGGCTCGCAGGGAGTATTGTGAAGATCTGCGGGGGCTATATTAAGGAGGTGAAGGATGCCAGAGATGAAATTCGGGAGCTACAGGAGACAGTTGCAGACCTTGCAGAAGTTCTTCAGGAGCTAAAAGTATTCCTTCAAGGTCCTAACGGCGCGAAGCTCTCCAGCTCTCGGACCCTCGACAGATCTATCACTAAGTGCTTTTCAACTCTCAGAGTCTTAGAAGTGACTATTGGTCCAGGGAAAGGCAAGAGGGCTATGAGAAAATTAGGACTTCGAGCGCTGGTCTAGCCCCTCAAAGGGACAGAGGTGGAAGGATTCATGTCGGATCTTGCGACATACAAATCAAACTTTACCTTATCCTTACAGATTGATCAAACGTGAGTTTTCCGACCATTTAGCAACCAACGCCTGGTTGACACCTACTTAGGAGCGTAGTCACCGGTATAAGTGAGACTACAGATCGGATCGATCGCAATATGGACCTAGAGCAATTGCCGGTTGCGCGCGGGGCCGAGTTCGACTCGTACACGAATCAATATGAAGATTATTGTCTTCCAGGCACCAGAGAAGAAATCCTTCGGCAAGTCTTAGAATGGGCGAGGTCGCCGCGCGGAAAATGCATTTTTTGGTTAAATAGCAGGGCAGGGACCGGTAAATCGACTATCTCGAGAACGGTGACAGAGATTTTACAAAACGCCAATTTACTCGGAGCAAACTTCTTCTTCAAAAGGGGCGAACGGGATCGAGGAAGTGCGACGAAGCTTTTCCCGACGATTATAAGACAATTAGCGAAGAACATTCCCCAACTAACCCCTAGCGTCCAGAAAGCAATCCACGACAACTCTGACATCGCAACAAAAGGGCTGAAGCAACAGTTTGATAAGATACTTCTCCAACCCTTACTGGGTTTAAATCTATCTACTCTCCCAATCCCAATTGTGGTGATAGTGATTGACGCACTGGATGAATGTGATGTGGATAATGACATGCGGCTCGTACTCCAATTGTTACCACGGCTACAGGAGACACAGGCTGTGCGTTTACGAGTTTTCTTGACCAGTAGGCCTGAATGGCCAATTCTTCAAGAATTCTCAAAGATCACGAGGCGTGAATATGAAGACCTGATTCTTCATCAAATTCCCGAGCCAGTGATATTGCATGATATATCTTTATTCTTCAAGCACCGACTTTCCGTTATACGGACGGACCGCTCTCTGCCTATCGGCTGGCCTGGAGATACTAATATTCAAAATCTGGTTTCATTGTCCGTTCCTTTGTTTATTTTCGCTGCTACTATATGCCGCATGTTTGAAGACCCCCATTGGGACCCAGTAGACAGTCTCCAAGAGATCCTTATGCCCCGAAATAATGGATCAAAATTGGATGGAACGTACCTTCCTGTGCTTAATCGACTTCTCAATGGACAGAACGAGAGACAGGAAAAGCAGCTGGTCCAAGAATTTCAGCAAGTGATCGGTGCAATCGTGATACTAGAGAGCCCACTATCAGTTATTTCACTTTCGAGACTTATCGGCCTCCCCGAGAGGATTGTTTATCTCAGACTAAACCCACTACACTCGGTTTTGAGTGTGCCAGATGATGAGACTTTGCCGGTGCGGCTCTATCATCTGTCATTTCGAGGCTTCCTCCTTGATCCGGAAACACGTGGGAAGACTCCACTCTGGGTAGATAAGAAGGATATGCACTGTAAGCTAGCCACTCGATGTCTCCTTGTATGTCAGGATTTGAGAAAGAATATATGTGGACTACCAAGTTATGGGACACAACGTGCGGATATTGATCAGCAGATTATCGATCACTGTCTTCCTGCAGAATTGCAATACTCCTGTCGATATTGGGCATATCATGTGATGCAATGCACAGACTTACATGATGTGATGCATGATACTCTAACTTTTCTCCAGAGGCATTTCTTGCACTGGGTAGAAGCAATGAACTTACTAGGTGTCGGATCAGAAGTGGTCGGGATTATCAACCTTCTGCAGACGGGTGTAGCTGTACATTGCTCGCATAATCCTACGTGGTGATTTGTTTATACTGACAGTTATAGGGTGACAACCATGATTCAATGTCCGAGTTTCTATTTGATGCAGAGCGCTTTATCCTTAAAAATTGCCAGATAGCGGATACTGCGCCGCTCCAACTTTATCACTCAGGACTGATATTTACACCCGAAATGTCTATAATCCGTAGAGAGTTCGAAACAGAAACTCCTGGGAGGGTGCGACTATTGCGGAAGGTTGCGGAAACCTAGAGCTCTGGACTACAGACCCTCGAAGGTCATTCAGATTTTGTTTGGTCGGTGGTCTTCTCGCCCAACGGTCGGCTGCTGGCGTCTGGCTCTAGAGACAAGACAGTCCGAATCTGGGACACCGCAACAGGTGGCCTGCAGCAGACTCTCGAGGGCCATTCAGATCAAATACAGTCGGTAGTATTCTCGCCCGACGGTCGGCTGTTGGCGTCCGGCTCTAGAGACAAGACAGTCCGAATCTGGGACACCACGACAGGTAGCCTACAGCAGACTCTCGAGGGCTATTCAGATCAGGTTCATTCGGTGGGCTTCTCGCCCGACGGCCGGCTACTAGCGTCCGGCTCTGCTGATAAGACAGTTCGGCTCTGGAGCACCGCGACAGGTGGCCTGCAGCAGACCCTTGAGGGCTATTCAGATCAAATATAGTCGGTGGTATTCTCGCCTGACGGTCGGCTGTTGGCGTCCGGCTCTGGAGACAAGACAGTCCGAATCTGGGACACCGCGACAGGTGGCCTGCAGCAGACTTTGAGTGTCGACGGAGTGGCCACTGACCTCGAATTTTCTCAAGATGGTTCATATTTGAGCACAAATCTGGGATCCCTCGATATTCAATCCGGGTCTGGCAATAATACCTCCTTGTCATCTCAAGCGAATCTGGCAATATCCATACATCAAGGGCAGTGGATAACATGGAAAGGGGAGAAAATATTATTTCTCCCTCCCGATGCTCGGCCTTCTTGTTCGGCGATTAAAGACAGTACACTTGTTATGGGACACGCCTCAGGGCAGATTTCCTTCATAAGCTTCTGGGTACAGTCATTCTCGAAATCGCCTTGACCAGTGCACACTGAGACTCTCTTTCTCGGCCCCACCACCAAGGCCTTAGCGCAGATCATTTATTGAGCAGACCACACTTAGTTGAGCACGGTTGTAAAATATATCTTGTATGGTATTGTATTCCATTGTGTAAGATTGCAGCCTACGCCTTGATTCCTGGGCTATAAATCACTGTACTCTAAAAGTCGCAATTTACGGCCGCCCTCAACTAAGAAGTGTGGTCTGCTCAATAAATGATCTGCGCTAAGGCCTTGGCGGTGGGGCCGAAAAAGAGAGTGCGATTTCGAGAATGACTGTATAGCAGGCGTCACATGGTTTTTATTTTCAATCCTTGTTCTACTTTCTAACCTCTTTTCAAAACGAGGGCTCGGAAAAACTAGAGAGTTAATACGTTTTCATGATACTAGCATAGTGTGCTATATCATCCCAAAGATTCTAATAGATAATCAATTGTGGCCAGCAATAGAGTTACCACAGTTCCAGTTCGCTGAGTGAGCAAATACGCCTAGTACTTTTTCAACAGACAGTCTGATTTTGAACTCGTTGTCTCCATGCCACTCATTCACTTTTTATATTTTCTCTCGTGGTTTAAACTTTAGGCTAATATTGCCTCAGTGGCAATATATTGTTCTCAATTTGTTCTCGATTTTCTCTTCCTCGTTCTTTTGGAGGGCGTCCGGTTGAGCAGGGTGGCTTGATAACAAGTGTTGTAAAATTACGATAGCCAACATACATTATTACCCGATAATCTTAGTGTTCATTGTTTTACACTTAGTTCGCCCGACTAGTGCCTTGGCAGTGGGGCCGAGAATTATGAACAGAGTGTAAACGGGTGAAGCTAGATTTGCACTTCTCTGTAATAAAGCTGTTCGGGCCCGTATTTGGGAGCTCCTCCGCCGAAGTGCAAGCTCTCAACGAATACTACGGAAATTCTGCAGAAAGGAGGCACACCTATCTCTAACCGTACACTATATTCAATTCGGAAGGAATACGGTATTCAGCTTCGTGTTAACGACCCAGCGCAGCGGTAGCTACGAAAGGATGAGCTCGCTACGACAATTTTACCGACTGAATTCGGTGTTGGAGATATTGATAGGTACGGCAGGAAGGCCCTACACACTCATCTTCGGTCAATAGGCCTCTTTTACCCTCGGTGAGTATATATACGACTTAAGTAAATTCATACTAACCCTCTTAGTGCTCTAGAGACTTAGTCTACAATCCATACCGAGATCTACGGCCTGATGCGATCGAGCGTCGTGCGAAAGATGCCTAACGGTACCGCGGGGCCTATATATTCCCTGGTCCGAATTATGTTTACCAAGCATACGTCACGCCGGTCGTTGACTACGCGTCAACCGTGTGATACAGTTCGACCCGTTGAGAGACAAGACTCATCTACGACACCTGAAAACAGTGCAGAGAACCTTGCTGGTCCGCATCCTATCGGCGTTCCGAACAGTGGCCACAACGGCCCCGGAAGTAGAAGCGCATGCTCTTCCCACCCGTCTATGTCTTCACCACCGAGCCCAGCGCACCATCGCGAATCTTCACACACTAGGAGTAACAGTAAAACGATATAACGGTAATAAGTGACAGTGAAAGAGTGGACAATGGCTTCGTGAGTGCTGAAGGAGGAATAAGCAGGAGTCAAACTAGTCACATATCCAGATCTTCCACCCCGAAGAGGTACTTTAAAAGGAACCTTCTCCACGATTTAAGCAGGAATTACAGTATCTTACAATGACTCATTCGGCGAAACCCTTCAATGCCCTAAAACGAACGTAGTGAGAGAAAGGGGTTTAGTAGACTCGGATGTACGTGCACGTTCCGGGAAACCTTTGGCTTCTTAACTACGTAAACCGAATGCAGATTAGTGCATTCTGAGCTAGGATCCAAGAGAAAACTCGTGTGTACACGAAGGGGAATCTGTTTTTGACTCCGACTGTAGTGCTCTAGTTTCTAACTTCTTTATCTAGAGATAAGTTCTGCCTGATATATGGTCGTCGTATTGAGAAACTCCTTTTAGTCATGCTAGCCTTCCTATCTATAACATTAATAGAGGTAAAGAATAGACCCACAAAAAAGATGGTCTTGCCGTTGTCCTAGTGTGGCTGGGAATGTTTCCAAAACGGACTCAAATTGTTTTGAATCTCGGTATATATTACCTTATCAGTAAAATGCATCTCTTGCACCAAAGTTAGATCTTTAACATGGAGGAAGCGCACTTACGTCAACCTAATTTCCCATGATCCTTCCCACCCTTAAGACGGGGCTCTAAAGTGCAGATCCAAGATTGGAGTTCTTTTTTTGAAACTCGTTTGAAAGCATGAGGACTAAGAGTCAAGAGGAGAGGCGTTCTGTCCCCTTAAGTAATATGATGCTAGCATAAGGCAGTCGTGGTTCGCCAGGTGGCTGTTCGAAATAGCTTTTCTTCGGGGTCGCTGTTTTAAACCGCTAGAAGTTAGTCATAAGACCAGTACCTCTCTACGGGCAACCAATTGTGACTGAATGCCAAGATAGGCTTCCTGTTGGCAGTTTTGAGTCCAGTTCAAGCAACTAGTAAATTGTAGGGATTTAGCTGCATACAATCGACGAATCGTGGCTCGAAAGGTAGTTCCAGAGTCGCGATTCTAAACCGCCAACCAGTGTCCGGCCAATAAGCGCACAGTACCCAGCCCGAACCACCAATTCAATTGGTCGTTCCGAACTGTGATAAAGTACTTTACATTTCATGTAGCTATCTACTCTGTATGTTGGTTTCAACTCCATCCAGCCATCCAAGAGGCTCTAATCTTTTCACTACCATTCGGTCTTGTAACATTTGAATATTATTTCCACCCTTCGAGTAGGAGTCCACCCACCTAACCACTCCTATCTTCAGGAGCAGCCTAGGCCTCCAGTACAGCCCTACACAATGGTGATATACCATAACGCCAACAAGTTACACGGATCCTTTGTAATCATAGTGTCTTCGGGAACCAATCAAAGTTTGCAAAGTATCTGATCCTGGGGGCTTTGTGATTGGGTTCCAGGAGCTCAGACGTGTCGGGAGCGCATAGCAGCGTTCTTGGGGGCAGTTCTTGTATTCCTAGAGACGAACCAGCCAGTCTCCAGGATCTCTGATTTCATGTCCCACTTTATTTGTTGCTAAGCAAAGTAGAAGGCTTAAGGGGTCACGGTCTCAAACCGCCAAAGGGCCATGTAAGTGTCCCGCTGGTTATCATGTGGCCGAGGGCCTAATCCAAAGTTCAAGAATACATCCAAGTTCACGGTTCAGAACAACCACTTTCATAACCTTAGTCTCGGCATTTCCAGAAGACTTGACACCCGAAGCCTTCATAAATCCTTACCTACTATTATTTCCTCCCTCTAGGTGCATTCGATCGACGAATCGTGGGCCGCTGTTCTGAGTCGCGATTCTGAACCGCCAACCAAGGGTATCGAACCAATGAACGTACAGTATTCACCTCGAACCGCCAGTCAATCGCTCGATCTGTACCGTGATAAAGTATCCTTCTCGTGTATTCCTCGTAGCTATATACATTAGTTAAATTCCAAGGAGGCATTCCGCTCCGTGAAGGAATATCAGGTTCTTCACAGCGACCTTCGTCTGCATTTCTTTGGCATAAAAACTTCTCATCCTTGAATAGCCGATTTGATGGGAGCTCTTCATTCTTGAATGGACACACGCAGTAAGGTGGCATATGTATTTCTCAAATCCAGGTTTAATCCAGGCTGAGCTCGTAGCGCAAGCACTATCTCATATTAATGAGGCAATACTGAATTTTGACAGTGGAATTCTCGATTTAAATATTACACCATAATAATAACACGGTATGGTAGGACCAATTGACTCATGTTCTATTGCAGATAACTTAAAAAGGGGCTAATCTAGCTAAATCAAACGCATAAATAGCGCAAGTCCGATCCTGAACTCCAACTTTCCAATCATTCCATGGAACTCGGATAAGCATCTGAAAATAACGCCGCAATCTTCAACCTTTACATCCTTGTTAATCTACGATCGCTATCATTGAATTGTGAATCCCGATCATTTTTCGAACATCGTCCAAAGTGGGACGCGCCGGCAACTAATCATGGACCAGGAAATATCTGACAGCAGGTTCTAATTTGCTGCAAAGACTGATAATGTCAGGCCGAGTTGCTGAAACATGGAACATCAAAGCCTCCATTTATATCTCGGTGAATTGGCCATTTTCTCTATATGATATTAGCCAGGGAAATTTCGAACTTGATGGAAGCGCGTACATTATCCTTCCACAGTCTTGATCAACAAGCAACGTTATACTTAGACCTTGTGATACTAGCCATTTCTTAGCAACCCGCTTATATCGAAAGATAGAATCGCGAACACGTGACTTTCTAGGAGCAGGAAGGCGTCGGCCGCTAGTATTGCTAATAGCTGCCTCGATGTAGTTAAGAACATATGTAGTGAACTTTCTCTGTCCGATATTAAGACGCCTATCCTGTTCTTCTTTGCAGATGGTTTCATAGAGCATATTAACTTGGACTTTTGCAAGTCGAATCCTTATATAGTTTTCTACGTTTAGGTTGCCTATCGTCTTGATATGTCTACAGATTCCGGCGATCCTTTGCCTTGCAGATAAACCCGGTAAGACAGCAAAGTCCACAAAATCCCACAATCGTTCAGCTTGCCAGTGATTAACTTAAGTTTCCAAGCGGGCTAAGTCTTGAGGGAAAAGACGGTCTCCTAGTTCCATAGATTGTCGAAGATTATTTATACTTAAATCCGGAAACAATAGTATCATGTTTTGAGTATGGTCTATGGGCATGACTTCAGGGGCCTGGACATGTTCCAAGGCTTCAAGGGAAAGAGGATAACTATAGAATTGATTTTCCTCGGTGGGATCATCAACCATATGTGGACTTGAATATTTCTCAGCAGCTAGAAAGACTCCGAGGGAAAGCATCTCAATGACCATAGATGTTCCTGAAGCTGTCCGTAGGCAAACATGAGCTTCTTGTTTTTAGATAACGACGGCCCATATTGATTATCGATCCTTTTGAATAATGCAACTGTTTTGTCAATAATTGCTACATTAATAAGGCTGTCAAGGATCTGGGAACCCAACAACTAGTTTGCTTTATTGTTCACACAGGCAATTCCATATTATCCCTGAGATTAAGGCCTGAAGTCCTCAGCATGCTAGTAAAGTTTCCATACTTTGTTTCAACAACACCAACTGCTCTGAATCCGAACTTGGAGTATAGTCGAATACCAGCAGGCGAGGACAAAACAAAGGCTTCTAGTGCATTTGCATCAACATAATCACAGAAAATCTCCATAAGCATAGACCCAACACCTTAACGTTGATGATTTGGATCCACGGCCATGAAAGTGATTCCTAACGGAGACAGGTCAGCAAGGCCCAGTGAGCGTTGACGCCAGAAAAGCTGAAGCAACTCGAAGGCTCGTGGGGTTGCAGTTTCAAACCGCCAAATAGGCCGTGCTCTCAGGGGAACCATAAGTTCCCTACTATCCCTTGGTCGAGGCCCACTCGCAAAAATACTTCAAGTTTGCGGTTCAGAACAACCACATTTTACAAGGATGGAGTCGTCGGCGATGTTAAAGAAAAACAACCCAACGAGACGCAGCCTATAAATCCGATCATGATTTGGTGTGATTGAACATTATCTTTCATACAGCTAAATTCGAAATTGCCTTCCATGCTTTACACAGAAAAATTGTTTCTAGAACCCCAAATCGAAATATGCTATGCTGAATACGGTTAGTGGAAATGCAGGGGTATTTCGCCGAACTTACAAAGTCAAGGTTCTTACAAAACATTATTACACAACCTGTAAGTTACACGTTCGGAAAACAAAAGGTTGGCAATGCACGGTTGCTGATTGGAACTGAATAGTAGTGAACCTCAAATCAAACACTACCAAATATGGTAAAGCCTCCTTAATGCGAGACGGGAAAAAACAGGTATATGGATCATGTCTAGATTGCCAGATCCTCCGTTTCCCAGGCTAGCAGAGTATCAGAATTAGAGACAGTGTGGGGATGAGCAGGACCTAAAATTCGTTGCTGCTTGGTCACGTAGGTTCTTAGCAAATCGATCGCTTCAGAACGACGGCCGGTAGATTTCAAGGTGAAAGCTAGGTTGGCCATACTCGCCAGCGTGTCGGGATGCTCCGCGCCGAGCTTCGTCTTGCGAGTCTCCATGACCTGCATAAAGAGCTGCTCGGCCTCCTCCTATCGACCCTGGCTCCTATACGTCGACGCTAGGTTATTCATGCTTAGCAGCGTGTCGGGATGGTCCGTACTAAGCTTCGTCTTGCGAGTCTCCATAACCTACACCTAGAGCTACTCGGCCTCCTCCCACCGACCCTCTAGTCGATATACTACTGCTAACATTACAGTGCTATTAAGCGCCTCCTCGCTCTCGGCACCGAACAGCTTTAATCTATACTTTCTTAACCTAGATACCATTTCCCTCTATTCTATAATATACCCGCTGGCTTACGTATACCACGCGCCTCTATAAAATAGCGTAGCCTATCGCTATACAGAGACTAGGGATTCTAGCCGTTATCATACTACTACTTTCACGTATAGAAAGAGCGATCGGCATCTTTCCCAATTCTCATATTCACTAGTCGGAAATTTAGAGTATAGATTTTCGATGAGTAGCCTTTTCCACTATTCGAGCTAACTATAGGTTTTGAGCTATATACGGACGGTCAGCTACACTAGTCGGTATATTATAAAAGACATACTATCTTCTCCGACCGCTATCAATAAAAAGTCGCATAGAATTATGATATTTCTTTCAAAATCACCGTCAGCGTCATCGTTCGACTTATTATCCGTGTCCTGTTCGCTTGAGCTATCCTCTAGCTTCTCCAGAAGAATATACTTACCGCTTTTCTAATCCTACCGAACTCGGACATCCTCGGTGATTCCCTACTAGTTAAAAAAGCTCATCAGCGAGAGTAGGTCAGTCGCAGATAGCTATTTTCCGCGAATATAATCAAATAATATTTACTATATATGCAGAATAGAGTTCTTTACCTCCTAGTCTCGGTAAAGCAGACCGGCCTCGTTATTTAGTACCCGTACTACGTCTCGGTCGCCTTTCTAGATTTTTTCGAGGTATTACGATACTAAACAACGCGGTGATCGGTATATAATATAGCCGGCAGCCTAGACGATCGCGAGTAGCATAAATTCAAGCTCCCGAGTCAGCTACACTATACTATCGTGCTCTATCAGTATATTTAACTTCTTCTACTATAGATCTAGCCCTTCGGCTTGATTCATTAGCTACACCTGAATAATATTATTATAACTAGCAACGTTCAGCGCCACCCCTCTATTACGGCTAGTGATAATGATAGACCCGTTAAAGCTCTCGAAAATATAGGGTGCGACTGCTGGCACCACCTAAAAATTCTGGCGGCACCACCATTGGCCTGATTGATGCCTGATTTCTGCCAAGCCCGTTACACCTTTCAATTACTAATTCAACCACCCTCTCCCTTCTTACACACACGCATTCTTTCCTTCTTCTCTTCTATCTTCTACTACTAGGCCTATCACATGACCTCCTACTAGCCCTACTACAATCACATGACCTAACACACACTAATCTATTTCAAAATCTATCTACTAGGCTTAGCTAATTCGCCACTTAGTAATCTGCCTTGCCCTTCTCTTCAATTCCTTCTCCGCTATCACTAATTTCTTAGCCTTCCGACCGCGGCTAGCCCTACGCCCTTGCCGAAGTTTTGTCTCCTAGTTTGATGGTATTCGCCTTGTCGATGTGTCGGTTCTCTTTGAAGGCGGTGGTACTACAATTCCTATAGTTTTATCCATAGAAACGTAGGTACCTCGGCTTCGCTTTGCCCTAAATTTCCGACTAGTCGTATGCTTTCCTCCCTATCTTTGCTAACGCTTTATAGTCTTAAGCAGCTTCGGCCGTCTAACCCCCCTTTACCTGAGCCGGCTTATTGATCCGAACCCTTCCTATCCTTCTAATTTGCTACTAATTCGTCCGAACTACCCGATTTAGCAGGATTAGCTAGTATTGTTAGTCAAAATAGGACGGAAGTAGAGATTAGCTATAATCTATTAGATCTTTAATTATATGATTATATAGGAGACTAAGAGATTTCTAGTAGTATTAGGTATAAGAGGGTAGTAGCTTCTCTGCTCGGCTAAAATTCTGCTATATATTATAGATCTTTCGAATCGCGCTTCTTAAGACCCGACCGAGGAGATTGCGCAAAATTAGTACTTGAAGCGAGATAGGGTACCGGTGTATTTCGTCTTGGATTAAGTTAAAAGCCTACGAATTTGTATAGGAAACGACTCGAGAAACGATTCGTATAGTCGTAAGAATATCGCCGGTTAAAGTACGAATTTCTTGCTTGAGCTTTACGTAGGCTCCTTCTACACGAGAAGAAGTAAGCTTATTATAATAGAGAATTCCGTTAAGATAGCACCGTATAAATTACTTTGCCCTGTCGCTAAACTACTGCTTTTTAATATATTCGATTGCTAATTAGTAGATTAGGTAGCTTAGGGCTTCTAGAAAAGAGGCCTTTCTTGCTTCTATCCTATCCTCGGTAGGCTCGAGGATAATCTATATAAACCTAGCCTTTATAGATCGCTATTCCTCGATAGTCTTCTTTAAAATATCTAAATTAGGAAGGTCTTGCAAGAGTAATTACTTCGAAATTATTAGCCGTACTCGCGTTTTAATATTCTTTATAATATACTAGAGACAGAGGATAGAAGTTAAATCTTTAAAGATCTCTCTACATACGTTAAGAAGAGAGTCTATATCGTCGGAGAAGATAATACGTAGAGCTTGAATCTTTGCTTGTGTAAGCTGTGTTTGAAGAGCTTGAAATATCTAAAGATACGACGATTCTTGCTTATTATTAACAAAGTAATAAGCTACGTAGAAGGTTTTCCTTGTTAAGGTTTGTCCGATAATATTGATTATTAGTATATTATACCTAGTTAACTAATTAGTAATCTCTTGTTTTCCTCTTATCTTTCTCTTATTTTTCTCTTATCTATCTCTTATTTATCTTATCTTACCGATTAGTCTTGTATATAGTATCTATCTATAGAATATTTAGATAAATACGAAGAAATTGAAGGCCTATCCTTAAGATAAAAGGATTCTAATTAGCCGCTGCGTATCGTCTAATTTATATCGTATAATCTAACTAGGTAGGCTCTCTATCACTGCTTTAATAGATGTACGCCCGGTAAGGAAAAGGATCTGGTTCGGGCGCGGAGGTTGTAGAGGTCTTTTAAGTTTAGTAGACTCTTCTTAGGCTCTAAAAGTGTTGAAATTGCTATAGGTTTTAGGCCTTTTTCGAAGTAATCAAGGAGTCGCTCTTCCTTTTCTTTCCTCTCTTTTTACCGTAGTGGAACTAGGAGATTTAGTAGAATTAGGCTATAATTGTGTTTACTATGTTTAACTACTATCTTATAACGGTTAGGAATAGCCTTTCTCGTACCCTTACGTAGCCAGATTTGAATCTTATATAGGCAATTAGTCCTAATCTTGATAATCTCGCGAGATTTAGCCTTAGATAAGACCGAAGGGGTTTCCTTGGCAGGCTTTGGCTAAAGGGAACAGTGTAGGTCAACCCTCTTATTATCAGATCTCTTTACTACTAAGGCAAAACCCTGTTTAGTGGTAGATTCCTGGAGGGCCTTCTTTGCAAGGTCACGGGTCTTATAGAATTGTGGTGGATCTGGTGGTAGGGTAGGTGGTAAGATAGACTGTGAAGAATCTATGGTTGGTAGGTATAGGGGGTAGGGAGATAGTAGTAGGCCTAGTAGATAGATTTAGATTAGTGTGTGTGGGTTATGTGGTTCTAGTAGGGCTAGTAGGAGGTCATGTGATAGGCCTAGTAGTAGAAGATAGAAGAGAAGAAGGAAAGAATGCGTGTGTGTAAGAAGGGAGAGGGTGGTTGAATTAGTAATTGAAAGGTGTAACGGGCTTGGCAGAAATCAGGCATCAATCAGGCCAATGGTGGTGCTGCTAGAATTTTTAGGTGGTGCTAGCAGTCGTACCCAAAATATACCTTAGTAGTAGTTGCGTCGATATATTGCTATATATATTTATCTAGCTCTCGGTACCGATTGCTAAGGGTTTACGAAGAAGCTCGTTATCAAGGACAAGAATCCACTTTCCGATTTTTCCGTCCTATAACCAATAGCCGACGACTTAAAATATATTAGCGTTACGGTCCTAGCTCCCTAGAATCTTAGCTCGATCGGCGAGGTCTCGGAGACTGTTCTCGCAGCGGGCCGCATTACTAGCATATACCTAGAAGATCCACGTATTAGCGGATTGCTATCGAACCTAGTAGCAATATTCAATAGCAAGATACGTTTTCCTACTATCTAGTTAGCATCCGAGGGGCTGCCCTAAGACTAGTTACTCTAACCCGACGCCTCCGAGACTAACAAGAGCGAGTCTGGACCCCGCTATCGAGGCTTTCTCATGAATTTTTTCCAGGATTTCATTCCGGCCAACAAAGTCTAGGTCGCGCGGGAACGGGACGGTCGATAGAGGTTCCGGGCGTGGTTCCGATCGCTCTAACCATAAAAGCCACGATGTGAGCAAGCGATGCTGCGCAGGTAGAGAGGGAGGAAGAAGATTGAATAAGATAGATCGATCTTTCTTCCTTAGATTGAATAGGAAGGGTAAAATCAATTCGGCTTAGAATCATAAAGGTAAGATAAGAGAAAAGTGAGGTAGGACTGAAGCTTGGTTGATTGTATTGAATCTCATGTTGTATCTATTCAACATGATTATTATCTTGGTAGAGAAGGCAGGGCATATTTATAATCAATCTTTTATGCAAACCTATCAAACTTGTCTCTTGCATGTGATCGTTCTAGATGATGCATGATGATCTCAAGCTTATAGAGATTCAGCCATCTTGTATAGGCCTTATGAATCTGGCTTGATATACTGTATGACGGTTTTAGGCATCTTGCCCTATATCTCACAGATCTCTACGAAAGTACTATATAATCTACTCTACGTAGGGATTAAGCTAGAGGGCCCGGCCTAGGACTATAAAGCGAGTAAGCTTAACGATCTTAGAGAGGATTAGAGAGAAGGAATCCGGGGTATACTAGCCTATATAAGATCGGCTAAGTACTATAAGTACGTAGACGAGGGTATATTTATACTT